ATCTGAGATGAAGGGGATTGGATATCAGCTGATTTTTGCGGCAGTAATGGCCACGGTGAACGGAACAGCGTGTAGAACAGCCGTCGGTGTTCACGAGAGAGGTGAACTTCCTTGAACAGTTCTTCGTATGAGGGGGCCAAGTTTCGTCGTTTTATTATTATCATTACTGTTACTTTATCATATTTCACATTTTTTTTATGTTTTGTCCTTTTTCAGTTCGTTATTATATCCGTTTCATTCAACACCATCACTGTCATAGTAATGGATGTCATAATTGTTGTTGATTATTATTACTGATTGTTATAAACACCTTTATTGTTATCAGCATCACCATTATTACTACCGACAGCATTGTCAGTATCATCATCATCATGATTAGTATCATCACTATCATAATTGCCCTCGTCATCATCATCATCATCATTATCATCCTTATTATTATTAATAACGACATCATCGTAATCACCACCATTATCATTACCAGCATCATCATTATCATCATCTTTTACTAATATCAGTCATATAATTATCATTACTAATACTACTATTGTTACTACTATTACTACTACTAATGATAATAATAATATTAATAATAATAATAATAATAATAATAATGATGATAATAAAACAATAACAATCAAATCATAATATTTCTCTTACTATTACCATTATTAGTTATCATAGCATATCAGATAATAATATTATTATTACCTCATTATTATCATATTTCAATGTCATGCATATTTCTGTGATGTATGATAAAAATGCGCGCGGGTTTATGTTATTCCACAGGATATATATATATATATATATATATATATATACATATATATATATATATGAGTGGACAATATCTATAGCAGTACAAATGCATATAACGGCGGTGGATGTGTATATGCATGCGTACTCCATTAAACTCCATTCACCACAATGCCTTAACATAGTGCTCTATGACCTTTGATGTCTAGCACATTTATTTGTTTAAAACATTAATCAACGAAACATGTGTAGGTACATAAAAACAGTAAGTAAATGAATAGACTAACTTATAAGGAGCCCTTCTTATAAGGAGCGTGGAAAGCAGCGAACACCCAGCAACAGCAACGCATAAGGTCGCTGGCCTCCTTCGCCCGCGCCGCCTTCCACGACGCTCCCTCGCTCCTCCTACTCCACGACCAGTCTGCCGCCGCCCACCTGTTCCTCGACCAAGTAGCATCCACCCACACGCCCACGCCCATCGCGCTAGGCGACCTCAGGACACCAAATGAGACGAGAGAAAGATTCCAAAGCTATTGCACGGACAATCACAACGATAAGGCAGGGATTACAATGGTGGTTTTCAGTCACTATGAAGTCGCGAAGAATTTTCTGAGACAAGGGGCCGCTGGTTGGGTGAAAGGACCGCTCTTGTTGGTCAGCCTCGACGTCGAAGAGGATGCCAGGTGCGTCGATCTTGTTCAGTTTCTTTCTATCATTAAAATATGGTGATTCCTTTTATTATTATCACAACTACCACCGCTCCTGTTATCATTGTTGTTATCATCATTATTATCATTACCGTTTCATGAATGTTATTATTAGGACTAGTCGTAGTAGTATCATTGTTATTATTATATTATTATTATTATTATTTATTTATCATTATCATATTATATTATTATTATTATTATTATTATTATTTATTATATCATTATCATATTATCATCATAATCATCATCATTAGTATTGGTATTAGTGTCATCATTATCATCTTCATTATCATCATTATTATTATAATCGCTATAATTATCACTATATTATTCTTTTTATGAATATTATTGTCATTGTTATTACTTTTAGAATTTTGATGATGATTATGATCATAAGTAGTAGCAGAAGAAGCAATAGTAATACTGCCATTGCTATTATTATTATTATCATTATTATTAGTAGTAGTAGTAGTAGTAGAATCATTATCATTATCTTTCTTTATTCATTATTTTTATTATTATTATTATTGTTGTTATTATTATTATTATTATTATTATTATTATTATTATTATTATTATTATTATTATCATTACCATCATTATCATTATTATTATCACCACTATTTTTACAATTATTATTAATATTGTTACCATTATTATTATTATTATTATCATTATTATATTGTTGTTGTTGTTGTTGTTGTTTCTGTCATTGTCATCATCATTACTATTACTATTATCATTATTATTGTTATTATTACTATTAGTGTTAACGTTATTAGTATTAGTAGTAGTATCATTACTATCATCATTATCATCATTGTCATTACTGTTATCAACATTATTGGTATTATCATCATTATAGTCATTTTTATAGTTATTATTATCGTCTTTATTGTTATTATTGAGATTAATATATCATTATTATTATTAACATCATCATCGTTATTGTTATTATTATTATCATTATTATTATAATTATTATTATCATTTTGTAAAATATTATCACAATCAGTATTATTTATTATTAGTATTATTATTTTTATTAAATATTATAATCTTAATCAATATTATTTTTTATTATTAGTATATTAATTATTATTGTTATTAGTAATATCGTCATAATCAAGATTATCATTATTATTGTGATTATTGTATTATTATTATTATTATCAATATTATTAGGATCATAATTATTATTACCACTATTTGCTGAATACCAAGACGATGAGGTCCCGAGAATGGTTCACTGGACGATGTGCGGGAAATATAGAATGAATTGAGGAACATGTGTACGCAAAATCTATACATGGCACAACGCACACGCACACACACGCGCGCACACACACACACACACACACACACACACACACACACACACACACACACACACACACACACACACACACACGCACACGCACAACGCACACGCACGCACACGCACGCACACACCACAATAATATATACGAGTATATGTCTATATGTATGTGTGATGTAAGTATGCATACTGTTGCGTTATAAGTTTAAACAAAAAAGAACTGTGAAGGATTTTTCGGTTGAAATGAAAAGGATTTAGAATATTGTAGGATTGCGAGATGATATATATAAAAGAAATATAGTAAAAAAAAACCGTCTACTTCGAGAAACTCAAAACAGGGAAATATAGGCGGTATATTGATGTGTGTGTTGCATGTGGTTGGGACACATTGGGTGCCGAGAACAAGGTCTATATGAAGAAAAGAAAGGAGAAAGTGAGGGGGAAGAAAGGAGAAAATGAGAGGAAAGAAAGGAGAAAGTGAGGTGAAAGTGAGAGGAGAAAGGAGAAAGTGAAGAAAGGAGAAAGTGAAAGGAGAAAGGAGAAAGTGAGAGGGAAGAAGGAGAAAGTGAGAGGGAAGAAGGAGAAAGTGAGAGGGAAGAAAGGAGAAAGTGAGAGGGAAGAAAGGAGAAAGTGAGAGGGAAGAAAGGAAAAGGAGAAGAAGAAAGAGAGGAAGAAAGGAGAAGTGAGAGAAAGGAGAAAGTGAGAGGGAAGAAAGGAGAAAAGAGGAAGAAAGGAGAAATTGAGGGAAGAAAGGAAAGTGAGAGGGAAGAAAGGAGAAAGTGAGAGGAGAAAGGAGAAAGAGGGAAGAAAGGAGAAAGTGAGGGAAGAAAGGAGAAAGTGAGAGGGAAGAAAGGAGAAAATGAGAGGGATGAAAAGGAGAAAGTGAGAGGGAAGAAAGGAGAAAGTGAGAGGGAAGAAAGGAGAAAGTGAGAGGAAGAAGGAGAAAAGAGAAAAGGAGAAAGTGAAGGAGAAAGGAGAAAGTGAGAGGAAGAAAGGAGAAATGAGAGGAAGAAAGGAGAAGGCGAAGAAAGGAAAATGAGAGGAAAGAAAGAGAAAGTGAGAGGGAAGAAGAGAAAGTGAGAGGGAAGAAAGAGAAAGTGAGAGGGAAAAAGGAGAGTGAGAGGAAGAAAGGAGAAAGTGAGAGGGAAGAAAGGAGAAAGTGAGAGGAAGAAAGAGAAAGTGAGAGGGAAAGGAGAAAGAGGGAAGAAAAAGGAGAAAGTGAGAGGGAAGAAAGGAGAGTGAGAGGGAAGAAAGGAGAAAATGAGAGGAAGAAAGGAGAAAGTGAGAGGGAAGAAAGGAGAAAGTGAGAGGGAAGAAAGGAGAAAGTGAGAGAGAAGAAAGGAGAAAGTGAGAGGAAAGAAAGGAGAAGTGAGAAAGGAGAAAGTTGAGAGGGAGGAGAAGTGAGAGGGAAGAAAGGAGAAAGTGAGAGGGAAGAAAGGAGAAAGTGAGAGGGAAGAAAGGAGAAAGTGAGAGAGGGACAGAAGGGGAAAAACAGAGAGAAAACGAATAACTAGGGAGGAAAGGAGTCCTTGGCCGAGTGCCTCTCCTCCGAGCCGAGGATAATCCGAACAGTTAACCGAAAAGTTAGAAAAACGACAATTAATGGTGCGTTCGGAACTGCTCGTCTATCTCGTCCAGACCAGTTGGACGAGATGTCTTGACCGTTCGGAACCTCCACTATCTCGTCCCGGACAAGCAGTCTAGCTCGTCCAACTCGCCCTCCTGCGAAGGTGGCCGAGCAGGACGAGATGACGTCACAATAGCATTTGTATGTAAACATTGACAGTTGCAGGTAACCGCAAGATATTGGTGGGAAATTTTATGACCCTTAATTGGTGTTATCAAAGGATAAGTCCTGGACAAGTTGTCTGGACGAGATAGACGAGCAGTTCTGAAAGCAGCATAAGAGCTTTACCCAAGAAAATACGTTCAGACGGATTCTGGAGCTGAATTGCCAAGAACACAGTAGCACCTTTGAGAAAGAATGATGATAAAGGTTGTGAGAATATGTAAATAGATGATGGCGCAAAGAGAAGATTGATAATAATAATGACAAGAGTAATTCCAAAATTAGAACCGACAATCAAAGTCGTTGATATTATTACTATTGTTAGTGTTGTTATTATGATCATTACTATTACGTGTTCCCATTCCCTGTTTATTATTGCACACCGTGTCATCCTCGCCATAAAAAGTAATGATGAAATTCAGTAATGACGACTAATGGCGTTGATGATGAAGTCATGCTAAAAACGCTGACAGTATTGAGAAAGACAAGGCCACAGACAGCAACAGGAGTACCAATACCAATCCACTTCGAATCCTCTGTCCTTGCAGAAGCCTTCTACGGGAAGTCCAAGGATTCGCTTCCTCAGCACTCCTTCGGGCAGGCCGGAGGAACCCCAGGGGGGGCAGCTGCAACGCCACAGCAACAGGTCCTGGAGAGCTCTGCGAAGACCGCTTTGCGCTCACGACGTTCATGCCGTTCGACCCACCCGAGGCGGCCTTCCACACGCAGGTATATATAATATATATATATATATATATATATATATATATATATAATATATATAATATATATATATATATATTACTGTAATGATGCAATATTAGTAACTTTGATGATGTTAATGAGGATATTATTGTACTAAGTACTAGTTTAAAAGTATTTAAGCGCGTTCGCGCGTGTATGTGTGCCTATATGTATATATATTATATATATACATACAGAAATGTGTACATACATACATACATACCTCTACAGTATACATACATATATATATATATATATATATATATATATATATATATATATATATATATATATACATACTTTATATGTGTCCATTAATACATACCTGTATATATACATTCATGCATAAATACATACACATACACACATATATATGTGTGTGTGTTGTGTATGCATGTATAACATGCTATGGCATGGCAAAATGAATATGAGAATTTTCCATGCAACAACTATCACTGCCTGAAAATCCTTCAAATAATGGGAAATACTTGCCTGTAAAAATAAAGATTAAAGCAAACAGAAAATCAGACCCTCACAACAATCTCCATATATTTAATCAGATAATAAGAGTATGACAGCAGACATTTTCTCTCACCTACAGTGGTTCGATCCGCAGTCGTATCCTTCCCGTACCGACCTGCTGAAGGAGCGCTTCACTAACTTTCACG